TTTTTGTCCAAAGCAAACCTCACCCTCAACTTGGCAAAATGTGACTTTGGTAAGGCCTCTGTGACATATCTGGGCAAGATTGTTGGCCATGGTTCAGTGCGTCCCATCGATGCTAAAGTTGAGGCGGTTCTCTCCTACCCCCCTCCAAAAACCCGGAGGGAACTGCGGCGGTTCTTGGGCCTGGCAGGCTATTACCGCTGTTTTGCAAAAACTTTTCTGTCCTTGCTGCTCCACTCACTGCCCTCTGCAGCCCTTCTGTCCCTTTCACCTGGACAGAAGAATGTGAGGCAGCTTTCCAAGCAGCGAAGTCACTTTTGTGCAGTGCCCCGGTACTTTCTGCACCAGACTGCTCAAAGCCCTTCATCCTGGAGGTGGATGCGAGTGCCAATGGAGCAGGTGCAGTTTTGCTCCAGGAGGACGAGGCTGGTGTTCCTCATCCTGTGTCCTACTTCTCTAAAAAGTTTAAAAAGCACCAGCTGAACTATTCCACTGTAGAGAAGGAGACCCTGGCTATGCTGCTGGCTCTGCAGCATTTTAATGTGTATGTTGGGTCCACTTGTGTCCCAGTCACTGTCTTCACAGACCACAACCCCCTCGTGTTCCTGTCCCAGATGTTCAACCAGAATCAACGTCTGATGCGGTGGGCGCTGCTGGCTCAGGACTATAACATCAGCATCCAGCACAAGAGGGGGAAGGACAATGTTGTGGCTGATGCCCTATCGCGTGACTGAGGACACACATCACCACTTGGGTCGCAGGTGGTGATGGCATCCATATCCTTTTCAGCCTTTTCTGACTCCGTGTTTACGCTGTTGACAGATCTCGTCACACTTTGCTGATTTATCCTTATTGTCTACATGTGTAGTAGCTATTACAGCAGTGGCTATTTCTAAGTTATCCTACTTGAGTTCCATTATTTTGGAAATGCCTGTTCCTACTTGGTGGACTTTACAAATAGTCCCTGAGTGTGGGTACAGATTTGTTAGATGCAGGCATGTTATGTTTTCTGGCTGGGTGGGGGTTTATTTTTATGGGGGGAGGTGTTACGGACCAGGTCCTTGCTTTTGTTTCTCCTTGCCTCCGCCTCCTCAGACCTCCCTCCCACTGACGTCTCACTATGCACCTGTGGGCTAATCACCTGGGAGGCATAAAAAGGGCCTGGCTCCAGACCAGTCTCTCTCTTCCACTTGGGCCTGGATCCTGCGGCTGCACACCCGTGTGACCTTTTTGTACATTTACTTATATGTAAATAAACCTTGTTACTTTTTAGACCCCGTTTCCTGTCTATGTTCCACCCCCGGTTCTTTTTGTGTTACTGAGTCACACTCTCTAGACTTCAACACCTAGTGGCTCGTAATAAAAAGTGTCTCAAGTCTGTACTGCGCTCTAATAATAAAGCGGAGGAACCTTTAACCTAGCTTTGGTCATGAGCTTTGGGGAAGGACCCAAAAGACCAGATGGAGCCCACAAGGGAGTGAGCAGGACGTTTGCTTAGAGAAAAGGTCAAGAGCTCGGGGTAGAACTGCTGCTCCTGGGATGGAAAGATAGTTTAATTTGTCTATGTTTGAGTTCAGCTCATAAAAATGAATACAACCAAGTCAGAATCCAGTGAGCAAAGTGGATTTATTTCATACACACAGAAGAGTGGAACACAACACACTTAAAGCTTTCAACACAACGTTAAAAGTTTTGAACCATAATAATAAATAAATGAAATACTCGCTGTGAATCTAAAAGCTTTTATGGGGGTAGGGGGGTTACCACAGGCTCCTCTTGTGGCACAGCTGAGGCCAAATGATTTTCCCAGGGGGCCGCATGAGAAAGAGAAAATGTTGTGTATGGGCGGGTCAACAATGTTCACTCAAATTTGTTGTGTAATACGTATGAATGTATATGTAATGTATAGTGTAGTGTTATATATATATATATATATATATATATATATACACACACATATATAGCAAAGCGCGCAATGGCCCTCATTTATGAAACTTGCATTTGGCCAAAACAAGGTGTAAATGAGGCCTACGGATATAATCTTTCAACAGTTATCAATCTGAATCTGGAAGAACATACGCCGAGTCTGGAGGTGGTATAATTTTTACATCCATCTCAACACGCAAATAACACGTGTGAAATTTAAGATTTTTGGACAACAATAAACATATTCCTGCTCTGGCAGAATTATAGGCACACTTCTCACATTACAAATATGCAATTTTACAAAGTCATGTTTGGGCCGTGCCGATAGTTTGTGTTCAAATAGATGTCAAACTCAAAAGTCTCCCACACGTGTGTGGATTGTTGTATGTGTATGTGCTGTGTGTGTGTGATCAGATTAACATGGCTCTGGAACATGCAGGGGGTACACTCGTGTCTCATCCTGGCTCCTCCACAACATGGTCTCTCATCCATGGAGCAGCCCATGGATGAGAGACCGCTCAGAGCACCGCCTTCGGCCTGTACAGCTCAGACGGGCTTCATTCAACCATTTTAAAATAATAATCACATACATCATTTGAAGATTATGTATGTGGCTGAGTGGCACGGTGGCTGAGTGGATAGCACTCTCGCCTTTCAGCAAGAAGGTCCTGGGTTCGAATCCCGGTTGGACCAGGGCCTTTCTGAGTGGAGTTTGCATGTTCTCCCCGTGTCTGCGTAGGTTTCCTCCGGGTACTCCGGTTTCCCCTACCACTAAAAATATGTACAATAGTTCTAGCATGCGCCTCCTGTACTGGCCCCGCTCCCATCTCTGTGTGGAGTGAGAGACAAATGCCCAAAAATTACAATTGTAAACCGCTTTGTGACCCTTGTCTGTGAAAGGCGGTATATAAATAAAGCTTACTTACTTAAGATCATTTTATTCAATATTTTCTTTTGGATGCTTTGGTCTGGCGGTCCGCCCCTGGGCTGCTGAGCACTTTTTTTATGAGCTGCCTTTTTGTTGCCATTTAAAGGTCACTCAATTTTTTTTCACCCATGGGCAAAATTTAATAATTTCTAACTATTGGCCCAATATATCTGAACTGTTTGTTTAAAAAGAAATGTACGCTATATTATGTCAAACATGAATAAACTCCCCTCCTCAGGAGAGCGTGTTACAGGCCGCACGCCGTTTACAGGCCGCACGCCGTTTACAGGCGCTGTCATCTCTTTTTTGAGCCCCTTGATGCCACTTTCCAAATAGTAAGACTTCATTTGTCTCCACTTTGTTCATAATGGTCTCAATCTCCTGCTCCCTGAAGTTTTTCATCTTGGCCGGCGGTTGCTGCATATTTACAGGTGTGACTTTCAGCCACATTTATCACCAGCTGCAGGTGCTTACGCTCAGATCTGGGTGGATCTCACGTATATGGAATATACACCCAAAATATACAACCTTTTCTGCGCAAGTTTCATAAATGAGAGCCAAAGTCAGCAGCACTTAACCATCATCCAAGTGTATTTCTCTACTTTGTCTGGAAACGTCCTCTTAAGTAAGTCATTCTTATTTAAATCCCACCTTTCACAGACCAGTCACAAAGCGGTTTACAATCGTGGGCATTTGTCCTCTCACGCCACACAGAGGTCGCCAGTACAGGAGGCACATGCAAGACCTATTGTAGATGTTTAGAGTGGTAGGGGAAACCGGAGTACCCGGAGGAAACCTACGCAGACATAGGGATGTCCTGATCAGATCTTGAGATCAGGCCAAAGCCAATATTTCATGCTTTGATTGATCTTTACAGCAGTTGTCGTGAAGTCGTAGTTACGGTAACTGCGAACGCAATTATTTAAAACTCAGTTAAGGTACATTTCAGAATAGTGTTCATATGGCAATATGCAAAGTAACATGTTTATTGGGAGAGGTGGGAGCAGCAGAGCTACCTTCAACACGACAAATCGGATTCAGCATTTGAGGACAACATGAAACTGACCATACGGCGTAATATTTTGTTTTTTTGACTTGGGTTTACACTACATTACAATTCAGTAGTGATGGGACTATAAAGACCATGGCACAACAAGGCTTTCTTTGTTTCGACTGTCGGTGCATCTGACCTCATACTAGGTTACAAAGCTTACATCTAGTGGACAAGACAGTTCAAGAATGGGAAAATGCTGTATGACAAGTTGCCAGGACTGGAATTCAATTGTGTGTTTTCAACATCTTTATGGTGAAGGATTACAAGCAGATACATGCACCAGACGTTAACCATAACACCAGAGGAGCACCCTAGCTACCAGAAGAGTAAGAAACCTTAAAACTACAGCCGCCGAGGCTTTGAAAGGCCTGACCAGGGGCGACTGAGCACAGGACCGAACTCTCCAGACAAAAGTAAAGCAGGAGCACACCAGACTCCACCAATGTCCTCAAATCTTCAGATTAAAACAGGACTCACTTGAGGAAGTGGGTGATGTGTCAATCATCTGGATTAGCCTGAGGATCACCTGAATTTTCTTTATCCCGGAATAAAGAAAGAATCTTGAAGCGGGTTGGTTTAAGAGCAGAACCAGGGCGGGCTACACTGGGTTGGATTAATGTGAACGACACAATATATTGTGGATAATGAATCACACACGTACATTTTAAAAACACATGCACTGAAGTTGAACTCAAGAAATTAACAAATGGTATAAAGACAAGTGTCTATTCCGTTCATTCCATTTTGATTTTACTTTAGTTTCATTCGCGCTTTAGTTTTTTAAGGCAGAAACGTTTTCCCTGTGAGTGACAGTGCAGCCATGGTTACTAATTGTAAGATTTAAGATGAGAACACCTCACTTTAAACACAAAGTGCACGTGGCTCATGTGATTAAAGCAGTAAGACTGAGTTATTGATATCTGATCATGATCGATGCACCTCATATGTCATTTGTCCAGGCCATAGACGGTCCAGACGAGTCACATGTGGTGGAATGACATCACTCAGAAACAATGTGGTCGGCTAAAGCTCTGTATGTGCGTGTTCAATAATATTAAGTCTAAAAGCAGATCTCTTCAACCATGAGCAAAGAGTTCATTCAGGTCTGTTTCGTCTTCGCAGGCCTGACTCTTGCACCGTCATCTCCTCCTGGTGCTCTTCACACACATCCTCCTCAAGCCCCGTCACCTGCTCCTCCTCCTCCCGGAGCTCACCCTCAGCTGCTTTTTTGTCTGATTCTTGAGCTTTTTGGCATGGATCCTGCTCCTTGTCCTCTGTTGCTTTTTGGCATGCGTCCTGCTCCTCTGTTGCTTCTTTGTCCATGTCTTGCACTTTCTGGTATAGGTCCTTGGCTGGCGTTTCCTCTGAGATTGGCGGCATGGCTACAGGCATCTCTTTGGCCCCCAGTGACTCAATAAGGCTGTTCAGGTTGCGTTCACAAGAGCCGTCTAGAAAAAGGAACAAATTATGTCCATGAGTTAGAATGAGCAATTATTTCTGAAGGAGAAAACATCTGGATACACATGAAAGAGCAACACTTCCTAATTGTTTAATGCTCTAGATCAGCAGTCTTCAAACAGGCAATAACTCAATACATGGTGTATCATGACAGCCCTGGGGTCGGGGCCCTGGGGTCGGGGCCCGCCCGTGTACCTCCTCATAATCGCAGGGACGGTAACGTCTAATCCCACCGGGACTGTTAGAACTCACTTTGCTGCGTAGGAAGAATGGTACAAAAACAAGTGCTAATGACCTCCCATCATCTAAATCCTCCAGAGGCAGGGCTGGGCAGGGACCAAACGATGGCCCCGGCATTTTCGTCTCTTTGACGGCCGGGGCCATTTTTCGAAGGGGTAGCATATTCAGGAAGCACATACTGGAATAATAATAATGCAGTTTTATATTGCGCTGTTTTGGACACTCAAAGGCTCTTCACATTCGCAGTTTCAACAATTCAAATAAAGTGTCTACATTACAATAGATAGAGTAATAAACATGAAAAAACTATAACACAATACAAGTCATTCATATCGGTCGATAACGATATATATAGATTTTTTATTTCTTTTTACTTGAATAAATACATTTGTCGTATCGGCTAACACATGTTAGCAGCACTTGTTTACAGTCATATTCACGGGGGAATGAGGCTGGAGGCATAAGTTTACAAGCAAAGTGTCAGTCCTGGTTTAGTCCTGGTTTAGTCCTGGTTTAGTCCCGGTTTAGTCCTGGTTTAGTCCCGGTTTCGTCCCGGTTTCGTCCCGGTTTCGTCCCGGTTTCGTCCCGGTTTCGTCCCGGTTTCGTCCTGGTTTCGTCCCGGTTTCGTCCCGGTTTCGTCCCGGTTTCGTCCTGGTTTCGTCCCGGTTTCGTCCTGGTTTAGCTCCTGTTTTGGCTTTTTGAGTGTCTTGTGCCCCTGTGATGGCTCCATGTGGCTCTTGGGCGGCACGGTGGCTGAGTGGATAGCACTCGTGCCTCTCAGCAAGAAGGTCCTGGGTTCAAATCCCGGTTGGACCAGGGCCTTTCTGAGTGGAGTTTGCATGTTCTCCCCGTGTCTGCGTAGGTTTCCTCCGGGTGCTCCGGTTTCCCCTACCACTAAAAATATGTACAATAGGTCTGGCATGTGCCTCCTGTACTGGCCCCACTCCCAAAAAATAACAATTGTAAACCACTTTGAGACTCCGATGTGCAGTGAAAAGGCAGTATATAAATAAAGATTACTTACTACTACTACTTACTACTCTGATAAACTTAGTTTTGCCCACTGCCGAGCCGCACATGCTATTCCTCGCACGGACATGCTTTGACACGGCATTGAAACACGACAACTTTAGATCCAAGTGTTGTGAAGTGAAGTTAAACTATCGAACATTCTATCAACCCCATTGGCTATTTATATATTGCGATAGACACGTGTTTGATATCTAGTTTTTGTTTTATTGCCCAGCCTTTGTTAAAAGCTGGGGATGGTCCTGATCGTGCGTCTATGGTCCGACAATTTGAATGTCTGGCAAGTTATATTCTAATTCTAAACATGGCAGGAAATAAGTATTTATTCAATAACAAAAGTCCATCCCAATACTTACTCTTTGTTGGCAACGACAGATATCAAACATTTTTGTAAGTGACAAGGTTTTCACGTACTTTAGGCATATTCCTCTAAGCAGATCTCATGTTTTGGCTATCGCTGGTGTGGGTTTGTATCAATAAAACATGTCCAGCTTCATCGCTCTGGCCCAACTGGGTCATGTACATTCAAGTTTGCAGTCATAGTTGTACTAACTCTGGTTAAAACCCTCGCGTGACTGCCTCCTTGTGGCTTATATCATATATGCAGTATAACCAATATACCGTATTGTAACATCTGGGAAATAAGGACTTACAGTTCCCTCAAAATAATTTCTATGGGGTTGATCTGGTGAATGGCTTTTGTTATTGAGTAAATACTTATTTTCCGTCATCATTTGCCTCAATTTCTGATTTTTTTAAATTCTGATCTTGATGGTTGAGTTTATAAATTATAATTTAAGTTAAAGGTATCTCTCATCACAATTGGTGGCTGACAATGCTGTTTTTGCCCCCACTGTATGATCACGTATGGGGCTTATGATGACCACATATGATTGGGGCGACAATAGCTCAGTTGGTAGGCCTTTAGGCCCGAAGGTCGTGGGTTCGAGCCACCCACAAGACCTACTCCAACTACTTCCACTACTATCGTTGTGTCCTTGGGCAAGACACTTAACCCCATATTGCCTGAATGCCCCGCTGAAAAAACAAAGCTGTGTCACCGCTGAAGGAGCAGCTTCCTGTCGACCCACCAGCGAGAGACTGGTGCCATGAGCATTGGGGGAGAAATGGACTGATAAAAGGGTTGAAAATGAATAAATGTATTTTCAAGTATTCTGTATTCTTAAACCTTGTAAACTTACTCAATAACAAGGGAAAACAACAAACATGATCCAGAGCTGTGAAGATTCATGTCCCCCACAGGAAAATGGTACAAATGTGGCCTTCATGCTGGAAGCACATGGTGTTACCTGGGATGTTGAGTGGGGGGCAGTCCATTCCCCTCTTCTTCATGAGATGTCGGATGGTCTGCAGCTGGTTCATGATTTCATTCTTCTGATCCTGAGCCACTGACTTCACACTGCGCACAAACCACAGGGAAACCTACATCGGGGCTCTCCAATTACATGTTATGTTTACTTCAGAGGGTCTATCTTACAAATGACAGTTACCAGTAGCTCACAACCACATTCCAAGTATCTCTCAAAAGGAATAATAAAAAATAAGAAAGTTTATTATGTCCTAAGAGTAATGGCCTAAAAAATACAATATAATAACAACTCTATAGCGCCATCTATAGGAGGCCTCAGATCTAAACATATTTCGATTGCATTAGAGACTAAACCAGTATAACCAGTGTGCGTGTATGTTCCACAAACCAGTTGGTGAGCGGGTCTAGCTGTGTGAGGATGGAGTTCAGCATTCGCTCAGTCTGAGCCAGCCTCTGCTCCAGTTCATTCAACTGCTTCTCTAGAAGAACACACAAGAAAAGTATGAATACATGCACAGTCTGAGCAGAGGCAGCAGTCTGAGCAGCAGTCTGAGCAGAGGCAGCAGTCTGAGCAGAGGCAGCAGTCTGAGCAGAGGCAGCAGTCTGAGCAGCAGTCTGAGCAGAGGCAGCAGTCTGAGCAGAGGCAGCAGTCTGAGCAGAGGCAGCAGTCTGAGCAGCAGTCTGAGCAGAGGCAGCAGTCTGAGCAGAGGCAGCAGTCTGAGCAGAGGCAGCAGTCTGAGCAGAGACAGCAGTCTGAGCAGCAGTCTGAGCAGAGGCAGCAGTCTGAGCAGCAGTCTGAGCAGAGGCAGCAGTCTGAGCAGAGGCAGCAGTCTGAGCAGCAGTCTGAGCAGAGGCAGCAGTCTGAGCAGAGGCAGCAGTCTGAGCAGCAGTCTGAGCAGAGGCAGCAGTCTGAGCAGCAGTCTGAGCAGAGGCAGCAGTCTGAGCAGAGGCAGCAGTCTGAGCAGAGGCAGCAGTCTGAGCAGCAGTCTGAGCAGAGGCAGCAGTCTGAGCAGAGGCAGCAGTCTGAGCAGCAGTCTGAGCAGAGGCAGCAGTCTGAGCAGAGACAGCAGTCTGAGCAGAGGCAGCAGTCTGAGCAGAGGCAGCAGTCTGAGCAGCAGTCTGAGCAGAGGCAGCAGTCTGAGCAGCAGTCTGAGCAGCAGTCTGAGCAGCAGTCTGAGCAGCAGTCTGAGCAGAGGCAGCAGTCTGAGCAGCAGTCTGAGCAGCAGTCTGAGCAGCAGTCTGAGCAGCAGTCTGAGCAGCAGTCTGAGCAGCAGTCTGAGCAGCGACACCTGGACTCTCCTCGCTGAGAACAAGACCTGAGAAAGTGGGACCTCTGCACATGTTTTAGGGATGCTGATCCCCAGATGCTTCACACTTGACTTCAAACTGAGTGTCCAGTGTGTCGTGTCGTGAAATTTTCTACCCCTTTATTATTCAATTTCCGGGTTGGGGCGTGTTCAGCAATTCTACCAAAAACTTATGTAGGAAAACTTGAACATTGCACCAATAATTCAGCAAATAATTATGGAACTATTAAAAACCAAATACTAATTGAGGTAGTGATAAAGTTAGACAGTGAGAAACATAACTATAATGCATTTGGGTCCCTAGATAGTGGAACAATTTTTTTTACTGCTCACCACAAAATGTTTAAAGAGCGACTAAACACCAAATCAACTTTTTTTAACTCATAAACTGCATAAGTATGTTTATTGTAGTGCTGTCTACATATCCTGGTCATTTTTTTGACATTTTAGTTCAAATTAGATAAAATATCACTTTTGAGCCAAAAAACGTCTGTGTGGCGCCCTCTCAACCTTTTTGGTGGTACTACATTTGAATTTGGTCCTGGCCTCTCCATTGACTCTGAAGTCCTCTTTGACATCAGTTGTTTTGTGTGACGTCAGTCTGTCAGAGCCAGTGATATAAACCCATTCAACTCTCACACACGCCCCAGCTGCAGTTTGGAGTATTCTGGCGCCATCTAGTGGATTAAAATTAAATTACATTCATTCTGAGATTATTGAGTGTGATTAGGTTCAGGTGTGTAGCTTTACAATTATCTTAGTGTGTAATCAAGGGTGGAATGAGACTTTCTGGTCTCTAAACTATTGCTTTAAGCAGCAATGACAACTGTCTGTTTTTTTTTGTGTGTGACAAGTGAGCTGTCAATCACAGCCCAGACCACCCCCAACTCTAAGCCCCCCTTCTTGTCCCTTGGTCCTCGGGCAACGCCCTTTTTAGAGAACATTTTCAAATCTTCATGTGGGCGGAGTCAGGCTGGGCACAGGTGTTTAGTCGCTCTTTAAAAGGTTCCATATTGCGCTCTCATGTTTCACAGTCCATCCTATGAATCCATGAAAGCTGATTAGGGCATGTGTATGAAGGCCAAATAGCACTGTAATAATGTTTAAAGCAGTAATATGTCACCTTTAAAGACAGGAGAACATGGCTGTATGTGTAAACTTCTGTTTTAGGCTTATACTGTTTGTAACGGGCCACGCTGCTCTTCCAAACACATGAGAAGCCCATGTTCACACACACCTGCCTCCACAGACTTCTTGGCCCCTTTGGCAAGCCTGTCCTTCTGTGCATGGTCGTCCGCAGACTTAATCTACAAAAAAGAAGAGAACACATGATCAAAGCTGACAGTTACCACCGTATTGATATTCATGAGTTGTAAAACAGCAACATTTGCAGATAGAATGTAGAACGCTCCATAAATTGGATCTAGTGTCTAAAAGCACACCAGGAAAGTGAATATATCAACTCAAGTGTGACAATAATGTTAGAACCTTGTGATTGCATGGGACCCGGACATTGGAATTCTAATTACAACCAGTGCATTTTATTAAAGGGTCTTCAATGTCCCCACAGACCACAATTATGATAAAAGTATGAATTGTAAATCTTATCACGTTAGTCACAAACATATGTAGATGTGTTGGTAGTGTGTTTATCCAGCAACCTGACCTTGAGGAACTTGTATGCAGCGAACACTCCAACCCCGATGGCGTAAAGCGGCATGAGCGTGAACACGTAGCCCTTGTTGTTGTTGCTCTTGTATTTGTCAGACTTCAGCTCCTGCTCCATCAGCGTCTTCATGTTCTGAAGGTTTTCAGCAGACTGGGCTCCGGGTGAATTCATGTGAACTGGATTACCTCGGACTGCGCTGGGACCAGGGCCTAGTGTGCACAGAGACAATCAGAATCATTTGTATTGCCATGTAAGCAACAGGAAGTCAGACTAGGAAATTGCTTTGGCTCTTGGTGCAGTGAAAAGTAGAGGTAGAGAATAGAGTAAGGCAGAGTAAAAATGTAAAAAAAGCGCTTTGGCGTAACGAGTATGAGCTCTGTGAAATGAATGAATGAGAAGTGTTGAGAACAATCAGAGCGACCGGAGCCAGGCAGGATACACGCGCGCGTGCGCGTGTGCGTGTGCGTGCGCGTGCGTGCGTGCGTGCGTGCGTGCGTGCGTGCGTGCGTGCGTGCGTGTTCTGGCGATTAAATAAAGACTGATTCTTGAACGTGAGCATAGCCTTGATCTTTCAGTGGGGGCTTTGGGCAAAGTGGGGTTAAGTGTCTTGCCCAAGGACACAACGACAGCAGTCATCAGTGGGAGTCGGTGGAGAAGCTGCAGAGGTGGGAATTGAACCCACAACAAGGCCAATGCTCTACCAACTGAGCTACTGTCGCCCCTATTAAATTCGACTTAAGCCCTAGTACTAACCCATTCCAATATCATGGCCAAGTGAAAGTTGTTAGGACCCATTTTAACCAATGACAAAGCAAAAACATTATCCCTTCTTTCAGATTTGACTATGAAAATAATGTGTTTGGCCCAGAGCACAAGCCGTGACCAAACGTACGCGTGCACTGAACACTAGAGTATTATATTTCACCGAGTATCCAATGACACTTAATCAAAGCAGAACAATGGACATGATCTTTTTTTTCTTGTTGACTTTTATTTACCCAGGAAGGTCCTCATTGACCATGAGAACAGACTGATGTTGATTCAAAGAACAGATGTGTTTTGTTTCTGGATGAACAGGTTTAATCCAGGCCTTGACATTAATATAAGCTTTGTAACCCTCACTCTTTATATTTTACTTGACCAATGTAAAAAAGTTACTTTCCCAAATATTTCTCAATAAAATGAGTTAACCAGAGTTTGGCAATAAATTAGCACTAACTAACTAAAATCTATTTTATTTATATTTTATTTTATTTCTTTATTTGACAGGGACAATGTTGTCATACATAGTTACATTATGAAAGATGCAGCTGATGCGACACATACAGAGTGTGTCGCTAATGCTAATGCTATTGCTAATTTTCAACTCCTGTCCCTGGTTGAGCTTTTCCCTACAGTGCAACACATAGAATGAATAATATAGGCCTAGCCCTATAACACATATTTACAACAGTGATCTAACGCTAAGACATTCCCCCCAATGACAGCCATAAGGACAATACACACTCACAATCAAGAATACACACACGCACGCACGCACAATATACTATATACACAATACTATTATTTACAGGTTCAAAAATAGGTACATGTTTGGTTTGTTTTAAGCCAAAGCTTGAGCTTTGAGGTGAACTCCTTAAATTCTAATATGTTTTTCAGGTCAGTGGGCAGCGAGTTCCACAGTTTGTCTGTTTTTATGTGTGGAATTGCACAGTTGTTATGGGAGGAACTTCTGGTGACTCTGTTGCTGGTCTGTCTCTGTATAAATGAACTTAGTGGCTCTGGTGCCAGGTTATTAATGCATTTGAATGCTAATTTTAGAGAGTACAATATTATAACATTTTCAAAACTCAGTAGATGACAGTTTTTGAGTATTTTGCAGTGGCGATATCGGGTTAGTCTCTTGTCCATAATTTTTATAGCTTGATTGTATAATGATCCAATGCACTTTGTGGCTGAGGGAGCTGCTGGGTCCATGCTGTCATGCAGTATGATACTGAGGGAGCTGCTGGGTCCATGCTGTCATGCAGTATGATACTGAGGGAGCTGCTGGGTCCATGCTGTCATGCAGTATGATACTGAGGGAGCTGCTGGGTCCATGCTGTCATGCAGTATGATACTGAGGGAGCTGCTGGGTCCATGCTGTCATGCAGTATGATACTGAGGGAGCTGCTGGGTCCATGCTGTCATGCAGTATGATACTGAGGGAGCTGCTGGGTCCATGCTGTCATGCAGTATGATACTGAGGGAGCTGCTGGGTCCATGCTGTCATGCAGTATGATACTGAGGGAGCTGCCTGGGTCCATGCTGTCATGCAGTATGATACTGAGGGAGCTGCTGGGTCCATGCTGTCATGCAGTATGATACTGAGGGAGCTGCTGGGTCCATGCTGTCATGCAGTATGATACTGAGGGAGCTGCTGGGTCCATGCTGTCATGCAGTATGATACTGAGGGAGCTGCTGGGTCCATGCTGTCATGCAGTATGATACTGAGGGAGCTGCTGGGTCCATGCTGTCATGCAGTATGATACTGAGGGAGCTGCTGGGTCCATGCTGTCATGCAGTATGATACTGAGGGAGCTGCTGGGTCCATGCTGTCATGCAGTATGATACTGAGGGAGCTGCTGGGTCCATGCTGTCATGCAGTATGATACTGAGGGAGCTGCTGGGTCCATGCTGTCATGCAGTATGATACTGAGGGAGCTGCTGGGTCCATGCTGTCATGCAGTATGATACTGAGGGAGCTGCTGGGTCCATGCTGTCATGCAGTATGATACTGAGGGAGCTGCTGGGTCCATGCTGTCATGCAGTATGATACTGAGGGAGCTGCTGGGTCCATGCTGTCATGCAGTATGATACTGAGGGAGCTGCTGGGTCCATGCTGTCATGCAGTATGATACTGAGGGAGCTGCTGGGTCCATGCTGTCATGCAGTATGATACTGAGGGAGCTGCTGGGTCCATGCTGTCATGCAGTATGATACTGAGGGAGCTGCTGGGTCCATGCTGTCATGCAGTATGATACTGAGGGAGCTGCTGGGTCCATGCTGTCATGCAGTATGATACTGAGGGAGCTGCTGGGTCCATGCTGTCATGCAGTATGATACTGAGGGAGCTGCTGGGTCCATGCTGTCATGCAGTATGATACTGAGGGAGCTGCTGGGTCCATGCTGTCATGCAGTATGATACTGAGGGAGCTGCTGGGTCCATGCTGTCATGCAGTATGATACTGAGGGAGCTGCTGGGTCCATGCTGTCATGCAGTATGATACTGAGGGAGCTGCTGGGTCCATGCTGTCATGCAGTATGATACTGAGGGAGCTGCTGGGTCCATGCTGTCATGCAGTATGATACTGAGGGAGCTGCTGGGTCCATGCTGTCATGCAGTATGATACTGAGGGAGCTGCTGGGTCCATGCTGTCATGCAGTATGATACTGAGGGAGCTGCTGGGTCCATGCTGTCATGCAGTATGATACTGAGGGAGCTGCTGGGTCCATGCTGTCATGCAGTATGATACTGAGGGAGCTGCCTGGGTCCATGCTGTCATGCAGTATGATACTGAGGGAGCTGCCTGGGTCCATGCTGTCATGCAGTATGATACTGAGGGAGCTGCTGGGTCCATGCTGTCATGCAGTATGATACTGAGGGAGCTGCTGGGTCCATGCTGTCATGCAGTATGATACTGAGGGAGCTGCTGGGTCCATGCTGTCATGCAGTATGATACTGAGGGAGCTGCTGGGTCCATGCTGTCATGCAGTATGATACTGAGGGAGCTGCTGGGTCCATGCTGTCATGCAGTATGATACTGAGGGAGCTGCTGGGTCCATGCTGTCATGCAGTATGATACTGAGGGAGCTGCTGGGTCCATGCTGTCATGCAGTATGATACTGAGGGAGCTGCTGGGTCCATGCTGTCATGCAGTATGATACTGAGGGAGCTGCTGGGTCCATGCTGTCATGCAGTATGATACTGAGGGAGCTGCTGGGTCCATGCTGTCATGCAGTATGATACTGAGGGAGCTGCTGGGTCCATGCTGTCATGCAGTATGATACTGAGGGAGCTGCTGGGTCCATGCTGTCATGCAGTATGATACTGAGGGAGCTGCTGGGTCCATGCTGTCATGCAGTATGATACTGAGGGAGCTGCTGGGTCCATGCTGTCATGCAGTATGATACTGAGGGAGCTGCTGGGTCCATGCTGTCATGCAGTATGATACTGAGGGAGCTGCTGGGTCCATGCTGTCATGCAGTATGATACTGAGGGAGCTGCTGGGTCCATGCTGTCATGCAGTATGATACTGAGGGAGCTGCTGGGTCCATGCTGTCATGCAGTATGATACTGAGGGAGCTGCTGGGTCCATGCTGTCATGCAGTATGATACTGAGGGAGCTGCTGGGTCCATGCTGTCATGCAGTATGATACTGAGGGAGCTGCCTGGGTCCATGCTGTCATGCAGTATGATACTGAGGGAGCTGCTGGGTCCATGCTGTCATGCAGTATGATACTGAGGGAGCTGCTGGGTCCATGCTGTCATGCAGTATGATACTGAGGGAGCTGCTGGGTCCATGCTGTCATGCAGTATGATACTGAGGGAGCTGCTGGGTCCATGCTGTCATGCAGTATGATACTGAGGGAGCTGCTGGGTCCATGCTGTCATGCAGTATGATACTGAGGGAGCTGCTGGGTCCATGCTGTCATGCAGTATGATACTGAGGGAGCTGCTGGGTCCATGCTGTCATGCAGTATGATACTGAGGGAGCTGCTGGGTCCATGCTGTCATGCAGTATGATACTGAGGGAGCTGCTGGGTCCATGCTGTCATGCAGTATGATACTGAGGGAGCTGCTGGGTCCATGCTGTCATGCAGTATGATACTGAGGGAGCTGCTGGGTCCATGCTGTCATGCAGTATGATACTGAGGGAGCTGCTGGGTCCATGCTGTCATGCAGTATGATACTGAGGGAGCTGCTGGGTCCATGCTGTCATGCAGTATGATACTGAGGGAGCTGCTGGGTCCATGCTGTCATGCAGTATGATACTGAGGGAGCTGCTGGGTCCATGCTGTCATGCAGTATGATACTGAGGGAGCTGCTGGGTCCATGCTGTCATGCAGTATGATACTGAGGGAGCTGCTGGGTCCATGCTGTCATGCAGTATGATACTGAGGGCGGGGGAGCTGCCTGGGTCCATGCTGTCATGCAGTATGATACTGA